AGAGTCATCGCCAGAAGTGCATTGTAGCATCTTTCAACTTTAACCACATTTGCACGAAAGCTTTTCCAGGAAACAGGGAATGAGAATTGACAGTTTTCTTGTAGAAAGAGCTGAAAGAAACCTTTGTATTGGCAGCCTTCTTGCACATTTACAAGACAGTGTACCCAGTGATAAAATAATCTGTAAAGACTGATTGGTTTGGGGTGTTTTTTGTGGGGTTTTTTTTGTTTGTTTGTTGGGTTTTTTTGTGGGTTTTTTTGGGGTTTTGTTTGTTTTTTTTACCATGAGGGTGACCAAGCACTGGCACAGGCTGCCCAAAGAGGCTGCATCCATGGAGGTACTCAAAAGCTGTCCAGACATACTCCTGGGTGACCCTGCTTGAGCAGGAGGTTGGACCAGATGACCTCCAGAGGTCCCTTCCAACCTCAACCAGTCTGTGATTTAGATAAAGTTTGAGCCATCCATCTTTGGATTTATTACACAGAGCCTAGCTGGATTTTTTTTAGGCTAACACAGTTTAGATCAAAAATAATTCTGCTTTTCTAGATCCAGAAAGTTTTGCTTTTCTAGATAAATGTGTTCACAAAGTCCTTCCCTCCTCTCCAACCAGGCTCTCTTTACTACTAATTTAGGAAAAGGAGACTACAAAAACTCATTTCAGAGGAAGCCATTCTTTAGAACGTCTCTGACAAATGCATAATAATTTTTTTTAACAGACATTCTGGGGTTTTTTAATGCAGTCTTAAAGCATCACCTATGTTAAACGACTACTGAAAGCATGTTTAAGCAGAAATCAATTGCTCAGTCTTTGCCACAGCTATGCTTGTGAGTGGTATATTTAAACACAAGTGACATTTTGGTCAGTTGACAAGAACTACCACCAGTACGGTCTTCCACATACTCTATATGCTTAGATACAAGCTTTGTAAAATTGAGCAAATTATGCCAAAAATTTACACCAAGCAGCATACTGTGAGACAAAGAGTTAAGGCAGGCACATAGAATCTCTTCAACTATCTCAGGAAAAAATCATACTAGCAACTATAGAAGTGAAGTAAAACCAGGAAGTTTAAAAAAAAAGACAAGGGATCACAGATTTTAGGAATTTAGTCTTGAATTCCTGAATCTGCCTTATAACCAAATATACACAAACCAGCCATTTCCACAGATCAGCTTCCAGGCTCTCACCACAGTGAGTCTGAGACATGCCTTGAAGGATGAGGAATTCACCCCCATTTTAGAGATCTCTATTCCAACCGAATGGCAGATCAACCACATCTTCTCTCAAATCAAAGAAATATTTATTATCCTTTATGTAAGTGCTCATGACAGATCCACAAGTCATGCCTCAGTCACCCCTTCCTGCAAAAACCATCTGTTGAAGCCAACAGAGATAGAAAGGACAGTGTGATCTCAGATGAGCCTCCCCCCGCCCCAAGTACTGAACTTGCAAAACCATGGGAACTTTACAAGAGTTACAAGATAGATATCCCATCTCCACGGCTTGCAGGATCATTTTAAGCAGAGAATATGGCTGAAATCACCCCCTCACACCTGAAGATAAATAACAAATGCACTTCTAAAAAGTCAACTGTTTCCAGAAACTCACTCTGCTTAAGGCCTCCAGCCTCCTAATCTGATTCAAATCACTGCAGGACTGCACTAGTGTATTAAAAAAAAATTTAACTGGCCCAGCTGTCTGCTGGGAACTGAACTAAACCAGTTTCTAAAACTGGCTCAGTAACATGCACTTCCTCCAAAGCACTCCTCTGTGGATAACGCTTTTCAGTCCATCCTGCTAGTCAGAGCTATTTTTAAAAGGGTCAGTTGAACCAGAATTCTTGCCCAGACCTTCGATATTTGTATTTCTATCTGGAGTTGCTCTGCCTGCCTTCTGAAAAGCCAGGGCCAAGACAGTCAGCTTGGCTTCACCACCAAGTCACACTTCATCAAATGAGGAACAAAAAAAATCCATCTGAGGCTAAGTGAAAGCATTTAGATGTAAGCAACCACGTGCTGACACCTTCAGTGCAACAAATCTGAACAGTAAACATATACATTTCCTCCCTCTCCCAATCAGTGCTCTACGGAACATACAAAAGCTGAAAGATTTAACCCAAAGGAGTTAGGAAAGCTTTGCATACCACCCTCCAAGAGCAGCAGCTAATCCCAATGTTCAACTACAAAGTTAATACTGGTCTCAGCTCTGAGCTGCCATATTCCATGACCTGACAGACGAAACCAACTGGAATATCAGACACACGAGCTGCAATTGTCAATGACACAGAAAACAGCACACAATAATGCACACGAAAGCACCGCAGAGTACAAGACGACAAAATTCATTTGACTCTCCCATTTTTTCTTCCCAAAATGTCTTCCGTAGCATCATTGGTTTACTTACATGCTGTATTTCCTGCTGGCTGGCTCGGTAGTTTTTCTTAGTTAAATTGTCCACCAGGTAGCTGATTTGAGACAAGGCCAGCGAGAGCGAGTCAAGATTCATTGCTGGTTGGGGCGGAAGCAGGCGGCCGAGCCCGGCGCAAAATCACCATTATTCCCCTTTAGTCACCTCAGAGACAGGTTAATTTTTTTTCCCCCAATTAGCCTGTATCTGGTCTGTGTTACTTTCTTCAGCTCTTCTTTCTCAGTTGTCTTCCACTGTTCTGAAACATGGCACCTGAAAGACAGCATTATGTTAAAGTTCACAGCTACATTCTAGGCACTGCTGTTAACTTGCTCTGGAACACTACCAATTAATTTAAAGTCAGCTTTTCAGATTTGTTTTTTTCTTTTCATTTAAAAAAATAAGCTTAAGTTTATATATTGTTAAAAACAGGTAATGGTTTTTCCATGTTTCCTACTTCCACCAGAACACTACACGGTGGAAAGTTAAATCCTAAAGAACTCAGCATTATGCTTGGGAGCTTTTTTTTTTTGCTTACAAGCTAACATGGTAAAACAAGAACAATAAAGTTTAACAAAGAAATTAGTAATATGGGCATGTTTGGTAGTTATGTCGAATGGTTTATGTCAGTTAAGCTATGCCCACAAGGAAAAAGAAGTACTATTAAGTTTCCACAACACAAGTTTAGTTGTTTCCACACTACCCAACCACATTTATTCATTTCTGCATCTTGCCAGTCTGAAAGAGCTAGGAAACAGCTCAGTCAGAATTACTATCCTTTCAGCACTGTGAGAAAGAAGAAAATGAGATGCATAATGAATCAGATACTACACAGCAGCAGAGGTCAGAATCATTCAAAGCATCAATCACCAGTTTATTAAAAAATAAAATGTGCTTTTTACCCATCTCTGCAGTATGTTGCCTCACTACCATCAAAGTAGTATTGCACTCAACCGTACACACCAAAACAAGCAATTGTGAATGAGCAACACACACAAAGAACTGCAATAAACTAATCCTAACATTTGGCTTATACAAAAACAGCTTTCCAGTGAGCTACAACAGCAGAGCTTGCCACTTAATAAATGTCTATGACAACACAGAACTTGGCACTTGACATCTCGTCTGTGAAATTACAGATTGCCAATGTGATAAAACGGCATCCCAAAGCAAGTCCTGCATAAACAACAGCCTGAGGAGTCCCAAAGGAAGCCGTAAGCTGCCCCGAGAAGCAGCACTGTGATTTATCAGAGGTGGAATCAAGCTGGAGAGTAACTGTTGTGAAGCTCTACTTGATCAAAACACAAAGGTCACCAGGCTTCATGCCGAGAGTCTGAAGATCCCTTTTTCAGAATAAAAATTATGGCTTTACAGTCTTGGCTGTACAGCGAAAACCACCAGTACACAATTTTTGCCTCATCATTGAGATGGACAGCACAGGGATGCGTTCACTTGGCACGCTCAACAGCTAGGGCAGCTCAGTTCAGAAAGCAGCCCAGGCAACAGCCCAGCTTGATGTGTTGGCCATCCCTCTGCAAGGGCTGAAGAGGAACAGCACCAAGGCAAGCTAAAAAGTCTGTGCTGGACAGAACTAGAACTCTTCCCCCCGCCCTCTCTCTTTATACAAAGGCTTTGACTCACACTTAGAACTACAGCTTGTTTAACATTTGCCTCCTCTTTAAAACATCAGGAGCAACAAATCCCATCAGAGGCAAAGAAGACCATTTTGCTCTTTGGAAAAGTTTATTAAGATTAAATAAAAACATGGGTAAACTATTTGTAAGGAAAGTGAAATCAACCGACTTCCAGACTTTCAATATGCCAAAGAAAACCCTGCGTACTCTATATAAGAGGCTACTTACACAAAAAAACCTCCCATTTCTTGAAAAAGAAATTTTCAAGTGGTAATATTGAAAGCACTCTTCAATGACAAGGCAGTTGTGCTATGAAAGAATTTCAGAGCATGTTTAAAATGCAGAAAAAAGAATTAGAGAAAACTTCCAATTTTTCTTTTCTGCACCTCTGACAAGCTGACAAGCACCTCGTTACCTTTATTTACAGGTTTAAAAGCCCACTGACTGTAAAACAGCTTTGTAGGGTGGATAGGCACAAAAGTTAAAGTTTCTCAGCAGCACAGCACCTTTAACAAAAATACTTCCACTTTTGGAATAATTGAGAAAGTGCCCCTGAACATGGCAAGTACATGCTCTCCAAGATGTTCTTATGGGCAAGGTTTAACATACTGGACCAATGCAAAGTTCCTGAAAAGCATTTGTTAAAAATTAAGCAGACAGACCACCACACACAGTACTTACACCCACATAAGCCACCACAAGCAGCTGCCAAGGGGAATTCAGTCCCTCTCAGAGTACCAGATTTCAGCAACCAGCCTGAAGGACTCAAGAGCTGGTTGAACTCAGGACTCAAGAACAGGACACAACCCAGAACTCTGATTTGTTAAGACATTAAGACATTTTAAGACATTTTTAAGACAATAACAGAAGTCTCAGAGTTTGCCTTTCAGGCCCCTAGGAAGAACCGCATTTGTCTGGGTATTGCTCCCCAGACCAATACAAACAGCAAAGCAATCACATCTAGTCCACTCAAAGATTAAGTTTTTAGGTACTGGAACTCTTGAGTTGGGCTCAGACATAAATCTGACCCTCCCTGCTGCCACACAGCACCCAGCAGAGCACTGACACTGACCATCCGATCTCATCAGCATCACTGCCTTCTCCCCAGAAAAGCAGGGCCTACCATCTCAATGTGCTTTAACTGCACAGGAGCACATCAAGCTTTGCCACTTTTTAACTGCAAAATGTGGCAGTGCCACCAGAGAACCCACGTGGGGTCAAAATGGGATTTTCCCTTTCAAGGAAGCAGAACAAAAACCTGAGCCGACACCACGACTCAAGGACACAACACAATAGCTGAAGGAAGCAGCTTCCTGTTTATGTTCTAAATACATGGTCCGCACACTATGTATCCTGACACACAGAAAAATCCTGACAGCTCTCACAAGCACCAAACCAACAGCATTTCAGAGGTTCAAATGGTGCGACCTAACTTACAGCAGTGTATAAAATCAGAGTAACTATGGGAGCCCTTCCCAGAAGGTGTCAGTCCACGGGTATCTCTGGTCATTCAGTGCAAGGCTAAAATTCAATTTCTACAACACTGATTAAGAAAGCTATGAATGCTATGCAAAGCAGACTTTATTTTTAGATGCATATATTCTTAGTGGGAACGAATCTCCCTACACTGGCCTCAACAATTCAAGAAGCTTTCAGTCCATAGGTCAAACCTGCCATCTTCACAGGCTCAGAAAAAGTCAGGCTTCAGCTAGCAGTTTACCACAAAAACTTAAATTTGCAGACAAATTTGCAACCTGAAGGAGATCACTAGGAGTAACTAAGCCCTCCTTTCTGAAGAGGACAAACCTGAAGTCTTCCACAAATTCATAAACAGCCTTACAAAGAAAGTCACTTCAAAATGACTTTAAGCTGAACTTTGGATTTTTTTAGTATTTTGCAGAGGTAAGGAACTACTCCCACTGGGTTTCAAGGGCTGTAAAGACTTCAGGCCATGTGTACTGTGCATGGAAAATAAAACAGCTGAAGTGACAGAAACAGCAATGCATTTGCTGATTAGGTTCTAAACTCCTGTCAAAATCTGCCATATAAAACATGCTGAAAGTACCACTATCAAACCTGTTATTCACAACACGGTCTCTTACACACCTCTCAAACCCAGCCACAAACAGAACACATGGCAGAGCAGCACACCTCTCCAAAGCCCCACATAAGCAGCCCTCCCCAAGGGGGAAAGGGGGTTTTGAATCATACCACAGTTAAATTAGATTTCAGGATGTCTCTACCATTTTGAAATCTACAGAGAGAAAGAACTTACAGTGTAATTCATATTAACAGTAAAATAAGCTCCTGATTAATTTGACCTATTCAAATTTAGGTGTTCACAAGTAGAAACACCACTGAACCATCCATGTACTGGAAAACTGCAGACAATTCCAGTCAACTGGAAGCCACAGTGCTGATCAGACATGGTAACTTTAGTTTACAGAGAGCAGTTGAACATATGTCTGTTCCCATACACCAAGGCCAGTTAAGTTTCAGGTTTGGAACCTACCTCAAATATATCAGGCATGCATCAATCATGACACAGCTGCTTCAGGCATTTCCACATCTCAACTAGGATCATTTAGAAAAAAACCCATGGAACTCTCACTTCCCACTTCCCCTTCAGTCAAACACTGCAGGATAAAGCTGCTGCTGGAGGGAATGGAAGGAAACATAGGGACGCATTCGCAAAGGCTCCGTGCTGTTTTCCCATCCAGAAAGTGTTTTAGAACAGTTAAATGCCATTTCAAAAAGCAAAGGAGAACCGCAGCATTTATAACAGTAGGAATGGTTACAGAACAAAAGAGAAACCTTGCTAAATCAGCAATGTCCTCAGCTGTGACTCTCAGTAGTAAGAACTCCCAATACTATTGAGTTATGACCCCATCACAGGGTCACAAAATATCACTGTCCACTTTTCCTAACTTATATTTGCACGGTTTCTCTTCCACTTACTCAACTGAACACCACCAGCAGCCATTTCAGCATCAGTTAAAGATGAACTACTACGCTAGAAGGATAAACAGGATCAGGTATTTCTCTAGAGAGGACAGACAGCAAGTATGTTGTCAGTTTGGTTTGGAGACACGAGGCCAATACGATCAACAGTTAACAGCAAACTTAAAAGCATAAGGGCAGAAAAATCAAGACAATAACAAGTCTAGAAAGGACAAACAAGTCTATTACCAGCTAAATTTGTTTCCTGTTTACAAGACAGTCACCTCAGCCGGACTCATCCTGCCTGTAATTTTAGTCAATGCCAATGTAGTTACCTTAGAAACAGGAAACACTTGTGTGCACCCAGAATTACTTGTCAGGTGTCATACCTGTTTTGTTCCCCACTTGAAAAAAAATGCTTCCCTGAGAGCAGATGTAATGCTTCCTCCTATCAAGTAGGATTCAGAAACAGACAGTTTCTCATGACATACCAAAAGACTAGGTGACCTGTTTTGTGTTTTTTAGTATTATCTCACTTCTGTTGTAAATACAGTCCAAACTGCTTGTGGTTTGTCGAAATTAAACTATGACTTCTCAGTAAGCTTACTGTATAAAGAGAGCACAGTCCCACTTTGCGTTAGAGAGCTGTTGCAAAGGAGCTATTTCTAACAATACAGCATCTGTCAAAACAGCCAACTGTTGCTACTTCTA